AAGCAACTAATTGAGTACATAGATTGCACCTTGCACTATCGCCACTACATTTTTTAAAAGTGCACCCAGACCTTGGATCGCTTCGCTCTGTCCGCCATGCCTGCGGGAGTCTCACAACAATAATAAGAGCGCTGTTGAGAGAGAGGACGATTGGCATTTACAGTGGCCAATCAGAGGGGTCTCAAACCGGATAAATCACACGGGATGAGGGTTCCCAACCAACCAGAATGGTTTAAAGTTAAACTAAGGAAGTAGACGTAACAGATATACCGATAGCAGCACCGTTTGTCCAGCGGCTTAACGGTATACCGATACCGTCCAATCAGGTACCGGTATTGACTTAGTACCGGTTCTCGGTACCCATCCCTATCTGGATCCATATGCTGGCAACTTCTAACAAGTCCTTTGGGATGACCCTGAGTGTACTGCTCCAGAAAATAGAGTCGGTCACTGTAGCTGTTGGTGTTTTTCTCAACACCGTTCTCAAAAGCCTTCATAAATGTGTGATATTTTAACGGGTCGCCATCAAAAACTGGAAACTCTCTCTTTGGCAAGGATGAAAGGCATTGCTGTTATAATAACAGTGTAGTTATTTCATTTTGTTTTCTCATAATGCCCAGTATGTTGTTTTGATCTTCATTTACGTTCAAGCTATCTCCATAATTCATTTGTGTTTTCAAATTGGATTTTTTATGGGATACTGGCTCTGAGGAAAGGAACCAAGGTGACATGTTCAAAAAAACAACAAGCACACAAGACGTAAGAAGAACCATCATCAAACAGTGCATGGATTAAGGATCTATCAAGGAGAATGGAGATAAGCAATTGTTTGAACTAATTCACGGAGGTAAGCACTGGATGTTAATAAAGACTGCAGTTTTGGAAGCTGTCTTCAACGTGGATCACAGCCAGGTTCTTCTTACGTCTTGTGTGCTTGTTGTTTTTTGTTGTCAAAATATAGCGACAGCAGGAAACAAACAAAGTCGCTGAGAGGCTGAGGCCAGGCCTGCTTGATATTGTGTGACACGCTACAAAAAAGTACTTGCTGAGATCAAAAACTCTGTTGCAAAATTATGTGGTTTAATGAAAACTGGAATGATCAACTTATTCTCCTTGGACATGTACATCGTTATACTAATCAGAGCAATAATTTCAACTTGCGGTCAACAAAAAGTACAACGGCCCTGTGTCACCCTCTCTTCCACACACACCTCACGCAGGTGAACAGGATTATAATGAGTGCCGCCCATATCCATGTGACCCAAGCCAATCAATCAATTGTGCTCAAACAAATATCTTGTATTAAAACAAAACGCAATACTAAACATGTTTCATGGCTCCTACATTAGATATTAATCTAATATGCTCTAACAAAGGAGTATATATATGTAGTTATTAAAAATAGATAATTAGATGTAAATTTTTAACTCAGGGCTCTTACGGAGGCGCCTCTCGCCGTCATCGCGCTCGCCGTCGGTCCGGCGCCGGCAGCGGCAGCAGAGTCTGCGCAGCATGATGTAAATGTGTGGGAAGACAATGAGGGGGGGGGGCAGGATGGGCCGATCGTGGAAGGTCATGATCAGCTGATAGCGCTGGAACTTCCACACCTGGTTAGAGATGGACTTCACCTCGAAGAACGTGTTACTGCGGAGAGGAAGAGGAGGACAGCAGGTCAACGTGTAAACAAAGCCTCGTTTTTACTTTACCATGCTTTGACACATAGCCTGTAGATATTATATGGAGTTCAAAGTTAGCCACGTGTTAATATTTTAACAATTGTTTTTAAGATTTTGATGTCAAAACTAAATATTGTGCTAAGGTTCAAAACTAGGTTTGTGCTTAAGATCAAGCTAAGCCTTGTGCCAGTGGTTGAACTTGAAAAATGCTATTGTTATATTGGTCGAGAGGTAAGAAGATTTCCCCTTAAGTCTTAAATTAAACGCAGATTAGTGTAAATATTAACTTGGAAATAACCTTTTATTTTGTAGAGGTGTTGATCTGGGGTCAGTGTGTTTCCTGGTCTGGGGTCAGTGTGTTTCCTGGTCTGGGGTCAGTGTGTTTCCTGATCTGGGGTCAGTTTGTTTCCTGATCCGGGGACAGTGTGTTTCCTGATCTGGGGTCTGTTTGTTTCCTGATCTGGGGTCAGTGTGTTTCCTGATCTGGGGTCAGTTCGTTTCCTGATCTGGGATCAGTGTGTTTCCTGATCTGGGGTCAGTGTGTTTACTGGTCTGTGGTCAGTGTATGCTGTGTGTTTTATATGTATTTAACACTGACTTGAAGACGGCGATGAGCAGGTTGACCAGCAGGATGTTAGCCACCAGCAAGTAGCAGGCCATGAGGGCGGGGGTGAGTCCGGCGCCAGGAATACAGGGGGGGAGCTTCTTCCCATCTTCATCGTACAAGTTGTCTCCACACGGAGCTAAACCCAAACACAGCATTATTATATGTGCACTATCTATATATATATATATATCACCTGTGCAGGTCATCTGCTTTCAGAAAACTTTCACAATAAGACAACTCAACTCGACAAACTTGTGGGCTTTATTTTGAAAGGGAAGAAGAAAGTGAGCTGAAGTTCACAGTAAATTATGTCTGAGTCACTTACGGTTGATTTCCATCGCATACACTGTCCATTAACAGTCAAAGGGAAACAGAAAAGAGGCAGAAAATAAATTACAGTTATAATAAGCCGAAAATTGGACAGCAGAGGACCAATCTGCACAGTGGGGACCTTGCTGTGGAAAATGGGTGGGGATAGAGGTTATGGACACAGGTTAAGGATTCAGGTTAAGGGTAGAGGTTAAGGACTCAGGTTAAGGATATAGGTTAAGGACAGAGGTTAAAGATAGAGGTTAAGGACACAGGTTAAGGACAGGGGTTATGGACAGAATGTAAGGACAGATGTTAAGGACCCAGGTTAAGGAGACAGGTTAAGAACATAGGTTAAGGATAGAGGTTAAGGACATAGGTTAATGATAGGGGTTAAGGACAGAGGTTAAGGATAGAGGGTGAAGACACAGGTTAAGGACACAGGTTAAGGACACAGCTTAAGGACACAGCTTAAGGATAGAGGTTAAGGACACAGGTTAAGGATAGAGGTTAAGGACATAGGTTAATGA